GATTGGTAAATTATGATGATATTAATTAATTGATTAATTTGTAAATTATGATTATATTGATTAATTGATTGGTATATTATGATAACACTAATTATATTAATTTTTAATTTTAGTTATAAAATATGTTTAGCAATTTATTAAATTTGATATATTATTATTTGTGTGGGGATATGAATTTTTTAATATAAATTTAAGGAAACATTTCACATGATGGGGATCGAGGTTGGATGTATAATCGTTTATATGATAATGGCTACTTTATTGATGAATTCAAAATTGACGTGAAGTCCTTTTTGGATTATGCATTTTCCCAATCCAATTCAAAATTTTATAATAGAAATTGAATTAAGTATCCATGCACTAAATGTATGAACCAAGAATGACATTGTCTTGTTACTGTGCAATGTCATTTGACAAAAAAAGTTTTACGAATGAGTATATAGTTTGGCTTGCACATGAAGAGTAACCAGTACGAAAGCAACAACGTCATCAATAGGGGGAATCCTTTAGTGCATCTCCCTTGGTGATGGAAAAACTAGGTAATGATCCAATTAGAGAGATGGTTATGGATGCAATGAGTTCACATGGTATAGAATATAATATGAATGAACAAGCCAGTAAGGAGGCAAACTTTAAGGAGGTAATGAGAGATGCAAAGGAATTGTTTTGATTTATTAAAGGTTGTTAACACGTCACTTTATAATGGATGTGATGAGGCTTATATAGTACTTAAATGGGTGTCTCATTTCATGAATGCAAAGATACTTTAGAATATGAATGGCTATTTGAGATTATATGTTAAAGTGCAGTAAAGGTTAAGATAGGATTTCAAAAGATTTTTACAATGTTAAGAAGATATGATGAGGCACTTCAGTCTAGGTTATAAGAAAGATGATGTTTGTGCAAATAACTGCTTCTTGTATTATGGTGAATATGAAAACAAAAACTACATCGCATGTTCATTATGTGGTGAACCTTGCTATAAACAAGGACATGTGCAACAAAATCAACATATAACAAGGAAGTTATTGTGATATCTTCCGATTACATCTAGACTAAAAACATTGTACATGTGTAGAAAAACTGCTAAGCACATAATATATCACCTCACTTGTGGTGGTGAATCTAAAAAGATTGTGCATCTTGTCTGTGCTGAGAGATGAGAACACTTTGATTGCACCCACCCCGACTTTGGGTTAGATCCAAGGAATGTAAGGCTTGGATTATGCACTAATGGGTTCACTACATTTGGACATACAACAACCTCGTATTCATGTTGGCCTGTATTTTTGATTATTTACAACTTACTTCTATCAATGTGTATGAAATTAGAGTCCTTCTTTCTCTAATAATACAATGCCCTCATAGTTCAAGAAAAAACATTAATGCCACGCTACACCCACTGATTGATAAATTAAAGGAACTTTGATATATAAGGTCAAGACATATGATAGCTTTAGGTATCAACATTTCATTTTGAGAGCAGCACTTATGTGGACAATTGGTGACTTCCTTAGATATGGCATGTTATCTAGATGGAATGCACATGGTAAACTACTATGTCCATATTGTTAAGAAAATTCTAAGGCATTCCACCTCCCAAACGGTGGGAAGATATCATTTTTTGATTATCATCGACAATTTTACCCCCCAATCATCCATCCAAGAGAAATAAGAATGACTGTAAAAAAGCCATGTAGAGAATCTTGCTTTACTTGAGAGATTATCGGGTGATGATATATTTTGACAAATTCAGCAGTTGCCCGATATTCTATTTGGGAAGCCATCCCAAAGGTAGGTAATTGAAGGATTTGGTAATTGCATAATTGGGTTAAAAGGGGTATCTTTTGGGAGTATTTTTATTGGAGCACAAACTTAATTCATCATAGCCTAGATGTAATGCACTATGAGAAAAACTTTTTGGATAATAACTTTTACACCGTCAAGGATGACCCATTGATGAAAGACAATTTGAAGGCAAGGATGGATATGGAATTGTATTACAATAGGCCAAGTCTTTGTATACCAGAAAGAAACTCTAATGCAGGTAAAAAATCGAAGGCCACTTATGTCTTAAATAAGGAGCAAAGAAAATTGGTATGTCAATGGCTAAAAAATCTTAAATTTCCTGATGGTTTTGCATCCAACATATCTCAGTGTGTGAATATGCAAGAGGCGAAAGTTAATGGGATGAAGAGTCATGATTGTCACATAGTCATGCAAACTCTCGTTCCAATTGCATTCCCAAAACAAGTTTGGGAAGCACTCACTGAGATCAATGAGATTTTTAGAGCCTTATGTTCTTCAGTCGTTCATGTTATAGATATAGAGATTTAGCATATGAAGATTATATAAACAATATGCCAACTTGAAAGAATCTTCACTCCTTTTTTTTATTCGATAGAGCATCTAACAATCCACCTTCTATATGAAGCCAAGGTGGGGGGACTAGTACAATTTCATTGAATGTATGCATTTGAGAGGTATTATTAGAATATCTATTTTTTTAATATTTTATATCTATAATATAAAACAAAAATTTCTTTTAATTTATTAATTATTTAAATTTACTTTTCATGAATTAGACAAATGCATGTATTGAAGGGTTCGGTGAAAAATAAAGCCAATCTAGAAAGATCAATATGTGAGAATTACATAATGAGTGAGATCTTATACTTTATCTCGCTTTATTTTGAAAGAGAAGTTTAGACAAGAGATGGTCGCATCCCTAAAATCTTGTTGGCCTAGGCCCTTCTATTAATATTGGCCTTTCAATATTTAATAATCTTGGAAAACCAATTGGTTCTCTACGACAACAATGAGTGTTGATAGTGGAGGAATGTAATGCTACAATGTATTATGTTCTAAGGGATGGATTGAGTGAGTACATTTCCTTGATCCTTATCCTTAACGACATTTGAGAAATTAAATGAACTGTTTTAATTTACACATAATTATAATGGATGCTTGATTAGGGTTTTCAAAGAGGAAAAATGTCAAAATATGACTCTTCAACAAATACATATAAAACATTCCGATTGTCTTATGTCATGGTTTAAAAAATCGATAAGTTCAATCATAAATTTTAATTATTGTTCATTAAATATTATATACTTATAACTAATAAAATAACTCATGTAATATAAGTTTTATATGATGAGTTTGAGGGCATTGATGAGCATTTGATTGGTTTGGCTCGTGACCCTTATTAGATAGTTTCATGTTATAAAGGCTTTTGGGTAAACGATTTTTGATTTTACACTGTCTCATATGGAAAAAACAAGAAAACAATGAATAGCAATGTGTGTTGCATGGGAACCACAAAAACAGAATTAGATTTGGATTTTTATGGGTTGTTGCAGGAAATGATTGAGCTTCAAAATGTTGGCTCCAGATATCGACAGATAGTTGTTCTATTTAAAGGCGATTGGTATGAATTTCCTCCTACATGAGGACTTAAAACACCATTTCGTTGATATTAGTCTAAATAGAAAATTGAAAACTTATGAGCCTTTCATCTTGGTAAGTCAAGTTAAATAATTGTATTACACTCCATATCCATCACATAATTCTGTTAGGAAAGGATGGGTTGTTGCATTGAAATGCCAGATGAGCAAAAAGAACAACATGATGATCTAGAACCCATTTTTCAGGATGATGACTCTTCAGCTCCCTAATTGACCCACTTAGATCTCATTTATATGAACTTATTTGGCATACTAACGGGACTATATCTGTTATTAATGTAGAATTTAAGGATGTGGATGATGACAGAGAAATTGAGGAAAAGGATAAGGAGGAGGAAGAATTTGAGGATTATTATATATTTGAAGAGGAAAATATTGAATATATTTTTGAGGGTGATAGTAGTGATTAATTAATTAATAACATATATAGACTTTGTTATTATTTAGTAGTGTATGTATGTGGTATTTTATAACATATTGGGGATATGTAAGTAACTTGACATAAAAGAGAACTTAATATGATGTTTATTAATATGCATAAATATTATCTTTGAATTTCATGTTCGCTTTTATTTTTTTTAAAGTTTAAATCTAATACATTCTTTTCAATCATATACTAATATAATATTATTTCTTAATTTTTTTCTTTGTAGTGAATTGCATACTTGGAGCTTGTAGGGGTGACAAGGCCCTTGATGTTGCTCCCCAAAGGCCTACAAGGAAAGATCAATCATAGGCAATTGGGTCTTTGAGTACCATTGTTAGGGAGATTCAAGGAGAGACATGTGGTAATGGCAGTGACATTGACTCTAGTGCACCCTCACTTTCTCAACCCAAAAGGGGGTGACGTATTGCAAAAGCTCAAAAAATGCCAAAGGATCCTTCCCAGAAGCTGAGCATTGGGAACTGGGATGAGAAGACATTGTCAAAAAAAGTTCGAAAGGGTATTTCAATCATCCTTAAGTCGAATATATGTGATGCATACACACAATTTCTTATGAGCATAAGAAAATGTACTAGTAGGCTTTGCGAGTTTGTAGTTTTATTAAATAATTTATAATGACATGTTTTTATTTATATATATGTATTTTCTTATATAAATCAATTAATATATGAATATATGGTACGTGTATATTTTTTTCAAAATAGATATGCACGAGACCTTATTGGGAGGGTGATATACATATAGCATTTCTGCACATTTGTGAAAAACAATATAATTGGATGATGACTGATATTCAAGCTTCATGTAGAAAGAAGAATTTTACAGAAAAAAAACCTATACATATTTGATGAGGTTTGGGAGAAGCTAAAGTACATATGAAAGGACTTGTCGTTCAACACGCGTAGGGAGCAAGCAAAATTAAATCAAGCCAAGGGCCTCAAGGTAACCCACATAGGTGGATCTATGGATTACAATGACATTGTGCAAAAATTGGTAAAAATGTTACCTTTATGTTTTAGATATCATATCATAATTTATATAATAATCTTAATATTAATTATACAGTTTGTGTGAATTAACAAAATAATTGAATATGTGATATTGTAAAAAGAAAAAGATCTTGAACATAGGTGTAATATCCCAAAATTTTCTGAAATTTTAGAATTTAAATTAGGGATTTTTATGAGAAGAATTATTATTGTTGAGTCTAATGACTGAAATTTACAAACCTAAAAAGGGGGTTAAAAGAGTAAATTTGGTGATAGAAGGGGCTAAGCTGATATTCCTTTTTCTTTTCTTGCCATTATGCGTGTTTTCCCCCAGCTCCTTACCAGAACTTTGCTTCCAAAATCCGTAGCTTGTGCCTAGCCTCTTTTCGCCAAGAACTAGGTGAGAGATGGCATTTTTCTTTCTTCTCCTAGCAAAGGTTAGAGATTTATGAGTTTATGATTCTCAAATAACAATGAAAAACCTAGATCTTGCTGTTGTTATTCCCAATTTTCTGGTCCATGTCAAGTTCTTTAGTAGTATATAGGGAGCCCGCCACTTTCCAACACTTTTGGGTAATAAATTAGCCATATTGCTCATCTTTACATTATTGATTTGAATTGGATTAGCCCCAATCATTTAGGGTTTTCAATTTTGGGAGTGTTTCTATAGTTTCTTCCTTGATTTTGCTCATAATCAAGTACCAGCAGAATCTGATCTCTTTATGTTGGAAAATTTTTGACAACATGACCTTGCTGCAGTATTTTGCCCATAACTCCTTCTGTAGTTATCGGATTAAGTCAATTTTTTATTTAATAAAAAGCTAAGAGATAACCCTACAACTTTTATGTTGGATGTTTAACTCAGTTAAGTTGTTTTCATGGTGAAAAATCTGCTGCAACTCCAATTCTTGCAGGCAGACTTAACTTGCAGTCCGACCTTGTGTTAGTATTTTAGCCATAGCTCTCTCTGTAGATGTGGGATTAAGGTAATTCTTGGTGCTATAGAACGCTAAGACATAGGGTTACAATTTATCTGTTGACCACTCAACCCAGATCAGTCAATTTCTAGGTGTGAATTCTGTTATAATTTCTAGTTTGAAATCTGACCAGAACTTGATAGAAATTTGCTCTCTTTCCTATTTTATTCCCACTTTATCTGCTGCTACATTGCATCATAGTTGTATTAGACTTTTAGCTGCTATTTTTCTACTCTAAAACCCCTTGTTATTGGTTCATTTTGGCTACTCTTTTTTGCTACTGCATTTTTGCTTGAATGCTGGCAAGTTTTGGCTTGTAATCTACCATGTTTTTGCTGTTGTCTTTTGCCCAGAAAATCCCTATTTTTGAGGGCTTTCTCCAAGTATTTTGGGACTATTTTGAATGACAAAAAACCCCCACTTTACTACCCAATATTTCTATTGGTGTCTAAGATGGTTTGAGCTCGGTTTCTCCTTTTTTTTTCCACCTTATTCTGTCCAGAAAATTTGTTTGGGATACTTGCTATTTGATGTGTCTTTTTAGAGCTGTTTTAAGTATATTCTAAGTATTCATTTAATGTGGTATATGTTCTAAACCACTTTAATAGCCTTGAGTCCTTGAAATTCTAACTTGTTGTATACCTATAAGGCGAGGTAAGTAGAATTATGATAAATGCACATTGGATTTTAAGGTAAATGTTTTCAAGCATATTTTAAACTATTTTGAGATGGTGGCAAGATCAAAATTGATTTTTATTAGTACATGAGCATGATTGGTTTGAAATGAAGTTATTATTTTTATTGAATTGAGCTTGCCTACATGGATTTTTCTTTATTATCCTGATGATCTGAAATTGGTTTGTAAATTATGGATTTTCCTGTTAAATTCCTACATGGTTTTGTCTCCAATCTGGTCATGATTACTGATGCCCGTCAGTGGGAGTTTGTAAACATTGGTACATGTCAAGATCTATATCTATAGGATCGATTCATTATGTATTCCTACCAGTGGGATAGTACACTGCTTATTACTGATACCTGCCAATGGAAGTTTGGTAAACACTAGCCATGCTAATTGAGGAGATCACTACTTAGTTTTATTCTACATTGATGGTTTATAACCAAGATATTTTTCCTTTTGTTTATGTCTTAAAATGTTTATTTGGCATGCTAAAACTTTAATTAAGGGTTATCCATGTTTTTACTTACTGAGTTATCTTACATAGTTTTTTCCTCATCCATCATTTCAGGTAGTGAGAGCCGAGACGTGGGAAACCAAGGGGGAGTGACGAGATAAAAGGCTAGCCGTTTGTGTTTTGGAAATAGATTTTGAGATATAGATCATTTTTTTGTAAGTTAGATTTTATTTCAAGATATTTATCTAAGTTTATGTGGATTGTTAGTTATAAAATTAGCAAGTTCCAAGCCTTGTGCATTTGTGGGATCCTCTCACACGTGTACAACATCTATTTCGCTCTTGGTTTTGGGGCGTGACAATAAGAATCCATCATTTGTTGATGTGATCCATGCAAAAAAAATGTATCATCCAAAGGACAAAGATAAAATGCTAACATATATTGATGAGTAGGAGTATATTGTAAGGATTATTTTTTTACCATTATTATTTCTTGAGAGGTTCATTTAAGTGATATTTTCTTTTATTTTTATTCATATTAAAAAATCATTTAAAATTAAGTGAAATTATATTGCATTTTAGTTTTATTGAATATCATGTTAGAAATATATTTATGGTTGACTGTATTTTATATTTTATTCACACGGAGAAAGTACAATTTTTAGTAGAAACTCTATCAATTTTTTATAAATTTCAGTAAAACTTAAGTAATTTTATTATAGTGTTTATAATTATATTGAGTTACCAATCAAGATTAAAAAGAAGAATTAAAAATTATATAGATATATTAAATAAAGAAGAAAAAGGTGCAAAGCTATTGAATATTTCATGTCCAGAAAGTGGATCTCCATTAATTATTAATTTTGTATTTTGACTGAATGGTATTTCGTCTTTTTTGGAATCTTTTCGGTGATTTTTTTGATGAGAGGATTAATTACAGATATGTGAAGCCTCAATTCAGTTTTCATTGCTGTTTGGTAAATTGGATATTAGGAATTATGTTAATTACTAATAAAAGTCATGTTCTATTGACAATAAAACAAGTGAAGTAGTTGAGGTTTAATGAGATGGGTCCATATGGATTAATTGTCATGTTCTACTATATTGAGATTGAGACAACATTGATTTGGCTAAGATTCAAACTACTTTTATTTTTTTTTTCTAATTTTTGAGTTACACGAGAAAAAGTAAACATTTTGTATTTTTTAACCCATTTTTTAAAAAATTACAACTTATTATGGTGGTCGGTTTATGCCCAAAAATTTTATAGGCATTTTGGATATCTTTAATAATGTGTAGTATTAACTTTTTTACAATAAAAATGCATAATGTATAATATTTCAATATTTGATAACTAAAACAATAATTCTACCAAGGGAATCTCTTTGTGGCCCAATGAAGAGTTTGTCTACAAAGGAGAAGTATAATCTTAGAATAAATTCCCCTACATGTCCCCAGCTTAATTGTCTACAAGTCACCTTACCCTTTTTTTTTTTTTTCATTTTTAGTCATATTAAAAAAATCAATTAAAATTAAACATACTTTATTAATTGACTAAGGATATTCATTTAAGTGAAATCAGATTACATTTTAATTTTATTGAATATCATAACTAAAATTATATATAGTTGAATGTATTTTTATACTTTATTTATAAGGAGAAAGTATAATTTTTAGGAAAAACTCTATTAAATTTTTCATAAATTTATAATGAATCACAAAAATTTAAGTAATTTTATTTATAATTATATTAAATATTATGGTTATAAGTATATGGTTAAGTATATAATATTCTTATACTTTATTAAATGATAAAATAAGTATATTATACAATTTATTACAGGAACAATTAACTGCACAGGCCATTCAAAAATATGGGAAGGATACAACTGCATGGCCAACAATAGTTGATGCTTAACTTTTGTCCCAAGTTTTAATTAGACCTTCCAAAAATGGGCAACTTTATGAAATGCCCATTTACATGGATCCTGCTAAGCAAGGGGTGTCACACTATAAGCATCCTCCACATACCATACCTAATAGTTCTCAATGTTTGGTGTAGTTGCAACAGACTGTGATAGAATTACAAGAGAATCAACTGATGTTGCAAGAGAAGGTTGATAGGATGGAGATGATGTTTTTTATGATGTAGGGAATAGGGGTTGGGATAAGTAAGGGAGTATAATTGGTTTTGTCTTAAGTTGATCTCTATATTAAAAACATCTTTTACTCTTCTATATGCATGGACATGTATGAGTAGAATATGGTACTTTAATTACTATTTTAGGACATGATAGTTTAATTATGATATCTTTTTTTATCAGCAAAATTAACCTTATTAAGAAAAATGGAGTATAAAGGGTACTCCTACCCATTTAAATACACTGTACATACTAGTCATAGCTACTCAAATGGAACCATAGATAAAACAAAACAAAATTACATGCTCAAATAGCCCTTGCTTCAAAACTTGCATCCACATGCTTATGTTGTTTTTGAAACTGTTTCAAACAACTTTTGTTCTTTGAATAGCCAACGCACAAGCCACTATGTTTAATTGCCAATCATAAAATGAAAAAACACACCTCTAAACCTTGTGTTTGAACCAGACAAAGGATTTACCTTGTACCGCATCCAACACTTGTTGTCCCAAATTCCTTCCATTTTTAGATACTATATTATTCCTCCAATACCAAATATACCAAGATACCAATAAAAAAAAAAAAATGCAAGAACCCATCTCTCTTCCTACAAGCCTTCCCAAACCAAATAGAAAAAAATTTGCTATTCCATCCACTGTATTCGGCAACACCCCCTCCATACCCCACCACTTTAACACATGTATCCATACCAACCAAGATTCTCGACAAGTATAAAATAAATGATCACTCTCCTTCGTTTGCTCCTTACACAAACAACACAACAACTCCACCCTTTGTAAAACTACCCCCCATCATTGTAAGTTAACCTTTGTGGCCAGTCTATTTAAGCATAATATCCAACCAAAAGAATTGACTTTTGAGGGAACATATTTGCACCAAATTAACTTACACACCTACTTAGCAAGGATTCTATCACCAGAATCTAAGAAAGCATAAGCTTTCTTGACTTTATAGACACCATCCACACCATGTACCCACTTCCAATTATCTATCCTACCCTTTCTCACACACACACATTATCCAACAACTCCCACAAAATCCTGTCCTCATTAACTCTCTACCTATTCTTTGCCTTTGCCAATCCAACCTCCATCTCCAACAATCTCCGTCCCACACCCCCATCTCCCAAAGTTTTCCATCCTTGTTCACTACCAACTCAAATAACCTATGACACACATCCTTTAATGTTTTATTAGCTACCCATTTATCGCTCCAAAACCCCACATATTGCCCATCTCCTACCTCCCACCTCCCACCTCCCACCTAAACCCTTTCACCAACATATCTCTTAATTTTTCTGATTTGCCTCCAACACTCATGATGTCCTTCCAAATATGAGAAATACATAGACCCTCCACAGTAGTAATATCCACCTCCTTCTTCCCCCCATAATATTTCTCTCACAACACTTGTTTCCATAATCCCCATGACCCATTTCCTAGTCTATACCACCACTTACCAAGCTAAGCCCAATTTCTTCTACTTAAATCAAAAGCCCCCAAACCCCCCATCTTCTTAGTGTAACAAACAAGATCCCATTTAACCAATGAAAATTTCCTCTTAAGCTCACAAAAAATCCCTTTGAATGGCAATTAACTCATTAATCACACAATTAGGCAACAAAAATAAGGACATATAAAAAACAGGAATGGTAGAAAGTACCAAATTTAACAGAGTGATACGACCTTTAAAGGACAAGATGGCATTTTTCCAAGTAGCAAGTTTGGACTGAACTCTATTAACAACTGGTTTCCACATCCTTCTCGTCCTCAGATTACCCCCAATAGGCAATCTTAGATAAATGAAAGGTGTAGACCCAAGCCCACATTTCAAAACACTTGATGCCCCCCTTAGCCAACTATCTAAAACACTGAAACCATAAACATTGCTCTTATTGAAATTAATTCCCAAGCCCGACATCAACTCAAACCATCTTAAAATAATTTTCACCGTATGCAAATTCTCATTGTTCGCACAGCCCAAAATCACTGTATCATCAACAAACTAAAGTAAAGAAATAACCATTCCCCTTTTACCAATCTCTACCCCATGCAACAAACCCTCAGTTTCTGCTTGTTTGACAAGCCCAAGTAATCCTTCACCAACCATTAGGAAAAGAAAAAGAGATAATGGATCTC